ATTGTGGACAGCGTGAACAATAACATGGGGAGATTATTTTTTTTGGACGCACCAGGAGGCACCGGAAAGACTTTTCTCGCAAATTTGTATCTTGCTAAGATACGGCAATCAGGGAAGATAGCGATTGCAGTTGCTTCGTCAGGAATTGCTGCAACTCTCTTGAACGAAGGAAAAACTGCTCACTCTACGTTTAAACTCCCGCTATCCGTATCTTTAGATCAACGGTCTACGTGCTCTATTCGGAAAAATGGGCCTCTTGGTAAGTTGCTGAAAGACGCGTCGTTGGTAATATGGGATGAATGCACAATGAGTCATAGAGCTCGCGTGGAGGCCGTGGACCGTACTTTAAAAGACCTCCGAAGCTCTGCTAATGTCATGGGTGGTATCACTTTTGTATTTGCTGGAGATTTCCGACAAACGCTTCCTGTCGTCAACAGAGGTACGCGAGCAGATATTATGAAGGCATGTTTAAAATCGTCTCACCTTTGGACATCTGTTCAACATTTGAATTTGCGTACTAATATGAGAGCTCATCTACATGGAAATACGCATAGCAATTTTCCACAACAGCTGCTGAAACTGGGAGAAGGAATTTTTCCATCTTTAAATTTGGGCACCGATTATGCGGTTACTTTGGATGAGTCTCTAGGGCAAATAGTCTATAATTTAGATAGTCTGATAGATGCTATATATCCTGACATCGAAAACTTACATCAAAATGATTTTCGTTGGCTGTGTTGTAGAGCAATAGTTTCTCCCAGGAATGAAACAGTCAACGATATAAACAATTTAATTATGCAGAAAGTACCGGGTGAAGTTAAGTGCTATAAATCCATGGACACCGTCACTAACATCGAGGACGCAGTGCACTACCCCCAGGAATTTTTAAATTCTCTGAACCCCCGCTGGGCTTCCACCTCATGAACTGTCGTTAAAAGTTGGAACGCCGATAATGCTTCTCAGAAATTTAAGACCCCCCAACATGTGTAATGGCACGAGACTTCTTATAAAGGAGCTAAAATATAATTTAATAGTTGCGAAGATTATCACCGGCCCTGCAGCTGGTGAATTAGCTCATATACCAAGAATACCCATGATACCTACTGATTTGCCTATACCCTTCAAAAAGGCTCCAATTTCCAGTAAAAATTTCTTTCGCACTCACGATAAACAAATCCCAGGGCCAAACATTCAAATTAGTAGGAATTGATTTACGAAAAGAATGTTTTACGCATGGGCAACTTTACGTTGCCCTATCACGGGTCGGGGCTCCCGACCATCAGTATATTTTGTTACCAGAAAATAATATAACGTCAAATGTTGTGTATAGAGAAGCTCTACAATAATAGCTTAAGTTTTCTATCCTAAAACAACGGGTTGCACTCCGGGACTTAACAACTAACATCCACAGAAAGAAAATCTGTTCAGCCTGCTGATAGTGACTGCTTCGTCGATGTTAGTGTCGGTGTCTGTGAATTGACCTGGTAATCATTTTGTTTGCTGACCGTGTCTTTCCTGGGTAGGCTTTTTGCAGCGGTAACCGACATCCACGCGGGCGGAGCCGCGGGCGACCGCTAGTAATATATAAGTTACTGTAGATATTTATCGGCTACAGCATGAAACAGAAATAGATTTTGTTTATTCAATATAGATTTTAAACAACACTAATTGAAAGTCACTTTCGTCGTTTACAACTGGTTCGTAAAAAAAACCTCCGTACTAGGAAGAACCAGCAAGAAACTCAGCGGGACTATTTTTTTTTTCAAATAATAACTTACAATTATATACGTTATTTACATTTACATTAGGTGGACTGTGTACTTGTGTGTTTTTCACGATTAACAATCAAAATACAGATGGGTTGTCACCACTGAGGACTAAGATGGAATGCCTCGTTTCCAATAAAAAAGGCTCTCCGGATCTCTACACTCACCATACGAAACACTGCAGTATTAAGCTGCTATTTACGCTGGTATTCTGTGAGAGCGTGGTCCTTCCCCGGTCGAGCCGACCCATTCATGCTACAACCATAATATAGCTGCAGCGTGGCTCTACCACGTATAAAAGGCAGCTGTGAAATAGGCTACGAGCGTGGCTTCCAGCAGGTACAAGCATGTTATTGTAGATGTACAACTCATAAAGTCATATTACTGTAGATGTGGGGCAAACCTCCCGATATAATCCACACCATCTGGATGCTTAGCGGTCCACCAATGTACGTTTCACAAGGAGTTTTCTTCCGCGTACGACCTCTCTGTGGAATAGTTTGCCACCGGCGATTTTTCCGGACCGATACGACCTGGGGACCTTCAAGAAAAGAGCTTACTCCTTTCTAAAGGGCCGGCAACGCACCTGCAATTCCCCCTGGTGTTGCGGATGTACATGGGCGGCGGTAGTCGCTTAACATCAGGTGAACCGCATGCTCGTTTGTCGTTCTTAGGTCGGGGCTGTACGGCGGATGGTCTAATAATTCTATGTTTTCTTGCTCTAAAAACTCTTTTGTTCTGTGTGCGGTGTGAGAACTCGCATTGTCGTGATGGAGGATGATGCGGCGGTTGCAGTTCTCTTTACGGAGTTCAGAAACGACTTGTGGAAAACAAATGCTGGCATACTATTCTGCATTAACCGTTCTTTGTCCCTCAAGAGGAATAGTCGTAGCATGGCCGGTTTTGGAGATAAACGTGGCCACCATTTTTTTTGCAACACTCCGTGAACGAACAATTTTTGGTTGGCTTTAACTCATTTTCGAACGCCCAAACTCGTGACTGGTTTTTGTTTCGGGTTCTTACGCGTATATCCAGGATTTGTCACCTGATACAATGTTGTATACAGCATTTGAGGATCCTGCGTGGAATCTTTCGAGAGTTCTGACGCCCCAAGTAACGCGACCCGCTTTTTTGCTCTTCACAGAGCGATGCGGTATCCATTGGGAAAACAACTTTTTTTACACCTAATTGTTCATGCAAGATTATTTGTATTTGACTCATGCCAATGTCTAAAGTTGCCTGAATTTCGCGTTATGTCACATGTCGATCTTCCTCATTCAGTTTACGCACAGCATCAACGTTTTCTTGGGTGACTGCAGTTTTTGGACGACCTTGACGGGGATCATAACTGAGCTTGACACGACCACGTTGAAATTCTGCAAACTAGCGATAAATTGTGGTTTTGTATGGGGCTTCATCACCAAATGCAGAAATCTTCTGATCAACACACTGTTTTTGTGTTAAACCACTTCGAAAGTCATAATAAATCATCGCTCTTGAATTTTCTCGAGTCAATTCCATTTTCTCAACGACTAAACAAGTTTGACAAAACCTTGTGACAAGACCGAGAATCTTTTTTTTAAAATAAATAAATGGTATTCGATTTTTAAAACCAAGGAGTTTTCAATTAAAAAAGATTTTAATATGACAGGAACAGTGGAAATATTCCATTCCCGATACTTTTAGTGCAGCCTAGTATCGTTGTAAAAAGTACTGTAGTGAGTAAGCAGATATAATTGTATATCTGCTTTCTCACTACAGTACTTTTTTATTTTTAGTTGTTATTATGAAAACGTTGCTGCCTTTCTCCTGGATTTTATCTCTCTGTCACTTCTAACTACACCCATAGGACGATATTTTAGTTTAGTTTTAGTTAACGATGGGCTGTTTTCCGCAACTCCACGTCTAAGCGCGTATTTTGCGTGTAGGCAGGAATAATATGCTTATTCGAGCCATGATATCTCCCCCGAAGAAGCTCAGCAGTCCCTCGATGTTGCAAGCAACTTCGGGGAGCGATCCCAGCGCGCTGAGATGTTTCGCCCTGTATGAAGCGACTTCTGGATATGTCAGCAACACGTGAGCCGCCGTGCATGCCCTGCACAGGGGGCTATCAGTAACACCTATGGTAAACAAATGTTTGTTAAGAGAGCCATGTCCTGTGATAGCACTTGTTACTATCCTGATCTGTGGCTTGTTCAGGACGATGTTATGGTGTAATGAATATTTTAACACCGCCGCTACAAGGGAATATGTCTATTGCTTGCCGGTAGTCAATTTCAGTAAAATTGTAATCAAATTGCTTAATTTTCCAGGATTAGTGAAGAAGCCCATATCGAAGACAAAGTCATAATGGAAAAGATCATATGGAAAAGAAATATGTATTTCGTCAAGTGTGCTGTGTGAGAAGACTTAACCCACCTTTTATATGATTTGTAAGTATGTATTGTTATTTAAGATTTTTAATGAAATAAAAAGTTAAAGTATATTATTTAATACTGTCTTTTATTTTAAAACCTTAGAAGTGAGTGTAGAGATCTTGAGATCCTTTTTACTAGCAACGAGGCATTCCATCTTAGTTCTCAGGGGTGACAACACATCTGCGTTTTGATTCTTAGTCGAGGATTAATGTAGATGTCTATGGACTACAGCATCACCTTACCATCAGTTGGAGTGTGTGCTCGTTTGTCACCCTTATTCTTTTCAAAATAGCCATCTCGACTAAACTCACGACGCCATACATACGATGTTGAATATTGGCGGTCTTTTGTTCTTCTTTGTGAAATCGACTACCACCAGCGATTTTTCTGGACCGATACGGCTTAGGAGCCTTCAAGGAAAGAGTTTACTCTTTTTAAAAGGCCGACAAGGCATCTGCTATTCCCCTGGTGTTTACAGTTGTTTATGGACTGCGGTGTTTACGATCAGGTAAACCGCATGCTCGTTTGTCCCCTCTTATATAAAATAATTTTTATGAACGTGGTAGAGCCATGCTGCAGCCATTTGATGGTTGTAACACGAATGTGTCAGCTAGACCGGGGAAGGATGACGCTCTCACAGAATACCAGCGTAAAATAACAGCTTAATGTTGCTGTTTCGTATGGTGAATGTAGAGATCCGGAGAGCTTTTTCAATGGAAACGAGGCATTCCATCTTACTCCTCAGGGGTGACAAAACTTTATCGAGGATTGATGTAGATGTCTATAGAGACATATTATTATTATAGCACTGAATCAAATGAGAAAGTCCACGCTAAGCCCATTAGTAGAAGATGACAGACTCGTATGTGGGATGCGATCTCTAAGCGTAGAAGAAGCGTTGCCTCCACCCAGGTACCAAAACCCATTAGTTCCACTCAGCTTACACCGGACCAAAGGAAGGAACGTCCGCTTCGTGAACGATAGGGATGTCTAGGGAGGCAGGCAAGATATAAACCAGTCAATTCCACCGTGGTAGAGCCATGCAGCAGCTATATTAGTAGTATAGTTTTGCACGAAGAGGTCAGCTCGACCGGGGAAATACTATGCTCTCTCTGAATACCAGCGTAAAATAGCAGCTTAATGCTTCATGTGGAACCGGGGACCTCTTTACTGGACACAATGCATTCCATTTTAGTTCTCATGTGTGACAACGCATCTGCATTTTGAATTGTGGTCAAGGTACCAGTAATGTACGTGTCTAAGGGCCATAGCAACTACTTAACATCAGGTGGACTGTGTGCTCGTTTGCTTTCTTATTATATAAAATAGTTATAAAGATGCACTCCATAAATTTTTAATGTCGTTATTTTTACCACACATTTTACTTATTATAAGCCGATGTGGTGCGGCCACAGGCTGCCCCTTCGAATCAGAGCAATCTCGCCCGATCGCCCGTTGGAAGTGTCGACCTTGGTGGATGGAATCTCACTCTCAGACTTGCTTAACCTCTTAAGCCCCTAGCGGCCTTATGAGACCGCGGCCATATTCCGTCAAATCCCTAGTGGTCTCATGAGGTCACACCCACCCACAGCACTTTAACCCATAAAAACTTATATATAGAGACTACTTTTATATAAAGAAGTTTGGCATTATACAGTGTGTCTGGTCACGACCTAGCGATAATTTAAGGTTACAAAATATACCTAATTTCATCGACGAAAACACCCATATATGGGGGTCTACCCCCCTCCTGTCGGAATGGCCGCCATTTTTTTTAATTATTGTAGCTGTCTCTGCCAAAAGATGCAGATTTCTCTGGACAGAAAGGTCCTACAGATGTAAAAAAAATGTTATTTGAAAGGTAAAAATAGCATCTATCTAATAAAAATAAACATCATGGAAAGTTTTCCCTCCAAAATATCTTAAAACATTTACAATGCTAATTTAAGTAAAAAAATTGACTATTTTTTATTTTTCTTAACATACTTCAAAAACTAGCACATTGATACTAAATAGATAATAGATGTATAATATATAAGTTACTGTAGATATTTATCGGCCACAGCATGAAACTGAAACTGATTTTTTTTATTTAATATAGATTTTAAACAATAATAATTGAAAGTCACTTTTGTCGTTTACCACTGGTTCGTAAAAAAATCCTCCATCCTATGAAGAACCAGCAAGAAACTCCGCGGGACTATTTTTTTCAAATAATAACTTACAATTACATACGTTAAGAGTAACAACACAAGCCAAATTAGAAAACGCTTGGTAGCGATCACCCTTCCCAGGGGTTATTATCATTCATAAATTACTTAATAACCCTTTTTATACAAACTTAGTTTAATAACATTTTTAAACTTTGTGTATGTCAAATTTTGTATATTTTCTGGGATTTTGTTCTAAAAGCGTACACACCGTCCCAAGAATGAATTACTGACTCGGTGGAGTCGAGTAACTGGTACTACTAGCTTGTGTCTGCTTCTAGTATTTACAGAATTAATATCACTTATTTTTGCAAAACTACTTTTATTTTTGTGTACGTTTATTACATTTTCATAAATTTATTGAGAGGCCAGAGTTAATATGTTTGTTAGCGACGACAAGTGAATTTAAACATTTAATCTCAATTGTTTCTCATTTGTGATCTAAAGCTAAGTGTAAAGACTGATAGCGTTAATACCAAGAAAGTGAATTAATTACTTATATTAGCTTCAATTCTTATTTCAAAACTACGTAACGAAAGTTAGTAACAAAATCTGTAACGAAAATATGAATCTAATTGCTTATTTAGGTTTAATTAGAATGATGGAAACGAAATATGAGTTTAGTTACTTATTAGAACTTTCTTTTATTATAATTTTAAAGAGCTGTATTAGAGATATTAATATTTAAGTGTAAATTTAATGATTTGTTCGATTCTTTTTCTGTTGTAGTAATTTAAAATGATAAAATGTCAATTAATCTCTTTTGTAATTTAATTACTCATTATAGAAATAGATTTTAATTTAATAAGAAGTTAAAATATATTCTGTATAGAGTCTTAAGCATAATATTATCATGATAAGCGTTGTGCATTCCTGCCGCCTGGCGGCGCTACTTGTATGTTTTTTTTTGCGCCCGAAGCAATTAAAGGGCTACCCTATACGTAGGGAGGCGGAAAATGCATTACGCATACCACGATAGCTGGTCTATCATGGTTATGAGGGGCTCACTGTCCTACCGGGGACCCTAAGTGATACCCTCTAAAAACCGCCTTTGGGGACAGGCAGCCGGCTGATTAAGCTGTATTGTGCCGTATCGTGAGCAACCCTCTTTGGGAAAAGAGGGCGCAGGCGGCGAAGAGCCGCTGAGGCAGTGCCTACGAAGGCAAATTAATATTAGTTAATACAATAATTTAATTTAATTTAATTAGAGTTGGCCTGAGCCGCCAGGAGGCAGTTCAGGTCGTTTGTCAGTTTATTAGGCGGGTCCGAGAGAGAGTTTCTCGGCCTGCGGACTCGATAGCGAGAGGGGGGTGGGGCTGCATAAGAAGCTGCCTCACGAATTAATTGGTTTGGGTGCGACTCTGAGGCTTTGAAGAAGTTCTCAGAGAGTTTTTTAAGAAATTGTTGAATTGTTGGGAGCTCTAGGTCCCGATGAAGGTCCGCATTACGGACGTACCAAGGTACGTTCGCAGCTCGACGACAGAAAAGGTTTTGAACTATTTGGAGTTCATTAATAATATTAGGGTTTGCGTGGGCAAAGACGGGGCCCGCGTAGGACATGACTGGTCGTGTACAGACCTTATAAAGGGTACGCTTGTTACGCTTTCGGAGGGACATGTACTGTGTCGGCCCAACATACTGTTGAGCCTACTCAGATAAAACCGTGCGTGACGGGTTACTCTTTTGACGTGGGGCCTGAAAGTGAGCCCTGTGTCCAGAGTGACACCTAAATATTTGGCGGTCGTATGCCAGGGGACAGGGGTCCATAGCATACGTATTGGTGGAGTGTTTTTGAGACGGCGTCGTTTATAGTCGAAGTGAACGGCGGAGCTCTTCTGCGGGTTCACATTGATGCGCCATTTTTTGAACCAAGCTCCTAGGTCATCAACTGACTTTTGGATCTTGTTCCGTATGAAGGGCAGTGAGACACCTTTGCAGTAGATAGCAGTGTCGTCTACGAAGAGGGAGAGCTGAACACCTTTCGACGGGATGGGAATGTCGTTGGTGAACAGGATGTACAGCAGAGGAGCAAGTACTGAGCCCTGTGGGACACCAGCCTTGATAGTTCGTTGTGAGGATAGCGTGCCTTCGTGTCTAAAACGAAAGGTACGATACTCTAGGTAAGAAGCCACGAGACGTACTAGGCGATCGGGGAGACCTATTTTGTATAGTTTGTAGATAAGGCCTGTATGCCAGACCCTATCGAAAGCTTTGGCTATGTCGAAAAAGACCGCGATGGTCTTATGACGACGAGGATAGAAACCGCTGAGGATATATTCCACAATGCGGTGAACTTGTTGGGGACATGAGTGTTGGGCTCGAAACCCGAATTGATGGGGAATGATGAGAGGGTCACCGTCTGTGGGAAACAGATAGCGCCTCATACGTGATTGGATGACTCTTTCGAAGAGCTTGCCCATTGCCTTGAGGAGGCTAATGGGGCGATGACTGGAGGGGAGGTTAAGAGGCTTGCCTGGCTTGGGAATTCCAATCACAGTTGCCTCTTTCCACGTAGTGGGAAAGTAGCTAAGGTTGAAGCAGGCGTTGAAGATAATAGATAAAAAGGTTAACACCTGCTCAGGAAAGTGTTTTAGGGCTTGGTTGGATATGCCATCCGCATCCGGAGCCTTTTTTCGGCTTAAGTCCTTTGATGAGGGATGAAATCTCATCATTGGACACAGAGATAGGTTCGGAGGCCGTAGGGGGTGAGTTCCGGCGGCGGACCTCATCCTCCACTGCCTGGACGTGTGAGGGGTCGACGGGTTGAGAGCTAGGAGAGCATTGTGCGGCAATGCTATCTGCAAAGCACTCAGCCTTTTCCTCGTCCTCGAAGGCAACCGTGCCGTCGGGATGTGAGAGAGGGGGAGTGTGGGTGATAGCGTCTATGCGGAGGGCTCTGGCCATCTGATAGTACGCTGTATGAGATGGAGAGATATTCTCCATGAGTTTACTCTTTTCGAGGTCTCGAAATTCAGAGAGGCGGAAACGGAGTTCTCGTTGAAGACGATTGGCCGCGCGCCTATATTCGGGGGTGGGATATTTTGCTGCTCTCCGGAAAGCAGCTTTGTTGGCTTTTAATAGGTTGCTAATATGTAGGGGAAGCCCACTATTGTTAGCAACCGGGACGACCCTTTCGTTCTCCTTAAGGGAGGATTTAATAAGGGTGGATAGTGAATCGACCGCGGTGTCGATTTTTTCGGGACTGACTAAGTCCGACGGTAGGGAGATGGTAGAGTCCTGTGAGTCCAGAGCTTTAGCTAGGGACTCCTTGAATCCTTTCCAGTTGGTGTAGGTTTTCGTGTGTGTTGCGGGAGGTGGCTGATGGCCAAGAATGAGGGAGATCGGTCGGTGATCGGATCCTAGATCGTCTAGTGTCTCGATTGCTCTGAGGTTGAGAGAAACTCCTTGGAGTAACGCAAAATCTAGTACATCGGGGGGCGTGATCGGTGTTATCGGGAAAGTGAGTAACACCGAGGGGGAGTACTTGTATGTTAAGCGGAAAAAGCTTAGCTACTCCGGAACTAAACCGTAGGAAGACCGCGCTACTATTTTTATTTTTTACAAGCATAAATTAAGAGTTTTATGAATGTTTAATGTTCGAAATAGTAAAGATAAGTTATCTCTATTGTCAGGAATGTATAAAAATATTGTA